GCCTTCATTTTCTACTCACCCCCATGCTGAACAACACTCTGGAGTACTTTTTTGATATCTCAAATGCATCTGGAGATCTGGGAGGCTTCTTGCTGTCTGCTGACATTCAAATAATGGAGGTCTATGGCGCCCGAGGCAGAAAGGTCCATAAAAGTCCACAAAAACGTGTCAATATTCCTCCATACTGCTCGTCCAATGTATTCCAAGTGTCCTGAGTGGGTAGCGTCCATAATTTACTGGAAACGAAGTCATTTAGAATGTTTTTAGAGCATAAACAGTAGTGTATAGGATTTCCTGAAAGCGCGTTCACGAGTCTACGGAAACCGCGGCAGACCAAACCAGATGAAAGTGCGCATTAAGCTCGGCAAAGAACTCATGCTCTTCCTCAACATTGAAGTCCTCAGACATTTTTCTTTCGTTGTTTCTTTCTTTGCACAGGTAAACAGCACATTTCTTCTTCTACGCTTGCATTATCGGCAGAGCAGACGCTGAATGCGCACTTTCATCCGGTTTGGTCTGCCGCGGTTTCCGTAGACTCGTGAATTCGCAGGCGCGCGCTTTTAGGAAATCCTATACACTACTGTTTATGCTCTAAAAACATTCTAAATGACTTCGTTTCGAGTAAATTATGGACGCTACCCACTCAGGACACTTGGAATACATTGGACGAGCAGTATGGAGGAATATTGACACGTTTTTTGTGGACTTTTATGGACCTTTCTGCCTCGGGCGCCATAGACCTCCATTATTTGAATGTCAGCAGACAGCAAGAAGCCTCCCAGATCTCCAGATGCATTTGAGATATCAAAAAAGTACTCCAGAGTGTTGTTCAGCATGGGGGTGAGTAGAAAATGAAGGCTAATCATGTTTTGGATGTACTATTCCTTTAATTAGGGGAACAAAGTATTTGTACTTTGATTTCAATCAATAAATTGTCGATCAGGGTCTGTTTTACCGTTTCTAAAGTTAAGTCCAGATGCTTGATAGATCATACAGCAGATCAGGTTGACGGAAACTAACCCATTAGTCGTTTTTACATGTTTATTGGACGCTTTGCATCCGAAAACAAAACAGAAGCAAGGCTGCAAAGTCAAATCCATAATATTCATCTTTTTAATACACAGCATGTCTCGCTAACACAGGCTTTACGCCCGTCGACACAGAATGCGGAGCGCTTCATTGGCTCATTCGATAATAAAGCAGGCAGCCAGACGAGTCCGCAGAATAGAGAGTAACTCATCTCTAACTGTCTGCCGTCTCCTGAGTGCTAAAACATGTAAATTTATGGAGGAGCCCATCGGAAACACATATTTACAATACGTTTAGGTAATCACAAGATGTGCGAGGAGCCATCCCAGGGGCCCCGGGGACGAACGCGGTCGGCACAAAAAAATAGTTTTTATGTGTCATTAATTCCCTCTGCATTCCCCGATACATCCCCCCTTTCGCCACAGTAATACAGTAATCACTCACAATCGCCCAGAAAATTATCTGCACTCATCTGTGGAGTAAGAAAAAAACAAAAAAAAAAGAGCGGGAGGGGGCAGGAGAGGGCGAGCCGTCCCATTCTAGCTCTCCGCTGCCTCTTTAATGTTCATCTGGAGCCGCATGGCTGCCGCCCGGCTGGCTTGGTGCGGAGCAGCTTAACGACAATGGGATGTGGATTCACAAATATACAGTATTAGATGTACATTCTCACACATAGACACCTTTTTCTTTACGCTACATTGCCCGGCCTGGACAACATCCAGGGTCATCGGCGGCTTGATGGCGGAGGAGGCCCCTGTTCGCTCACATTAAGGAGGCGCCTCACCTCTGCTTGATACAGAAATGGAATCAGCGCCGCTGCAGTAATGGAAGCTGCACAGATTCAGATGTGAGGAGCCAAATGGTCAAATGAGTTACTGCCTGCCTGCTCATTATCTTCTGCTTTCCGTGGAGGAAACCTGCAGCATTATCAGGCAAAGCCATCAGACCCGATGAACGACCGTCGGAAAAGAGACCAACAGCTTCCACATCAGCAGCAGCAGCAGAGAGGGAAGGAGTTTGAGGGGAGCAGGACCTCCAGCCTTGATGCTATGTAGTGCCCTCTAGTGGCCACCAGATAAATAATACTTATTTACTCTTTGGCTACTGGGGACATCTACAGGCGAAAAATGGTACTACTACTGCAGAAACCTCTAAAAATAAAAATAAATCCATCAAAGCAGCAGAATTATGGAGTCAATTTCACTCAGGGGTGGAAAGTAATTAAATACGTTTGCTCAAGTTACTGTAATTGAGTACTTTTTATGAGTAATTTGTAATTTTCTGAGTAGTTTTTGAAATATGTAATTTTTACTTTATATATGTAATGTAATTTGTATTTTTTTTTATTGATAATTTATTTCGAACACTTAATAAAAAGCAAATATAAGTAAATTAATAAAGTCATAACAAAACAAAAAAGAAGAAAAAGAAAAAACATACGTACATACCATCATGTTCGAAAAGGAGCAGGAAGAAGTAATAAAACTTATTAAATCCTACCCCTGTTCGAGTAAATTTTACCCTAAGTAGTTTTACTTTGCTACATTTAAAACCTCCTCACGTTACTGAGTCAAAAAATAAAATAATAATACTGATGGTGAAAAAATTAAATGTGGTCCTGCCTTGCATTTACCCTTTGCATTGTCTCATAATCCAGTGCTGCGCTTCGGAAGATGGCAGTTGCTAATCACAACGTAGGGAGTATGGATGAGGAAAGGCCTGAAGAGGAAACACATTCTGGAGACGAAAGCCAGAAAAACCCTCGGCCATATTTAGAAGGATTATTTGTTTTCAGATGCACAAAAGGGAACAATGTGATAATGCAGTGCAACATGTGCCTGCCCAGCAAAACGGAGCTTTCGGCTTTTAAAACATCAACATCCAATTTACGAAAAAATGTGGCGGTAAGTTAGTTATCATGGTGTTGTCTGTTGGACAGACACTTTATGGTTCAGGTTGTGACTGTCCTTGTGCTGTGAGGAAGTATGTTCCTTAGCCCAGCTGATCTTTTGCAAGTGTGGATGTCCACTGAAATACGCCTTGAAATCGATTAAAACACCTTGTGCTCAATTCGATTCATGACTCATCCTTTTTTGCATTAAATAACTCAAAGTAACTAAGTAACTTTTACTCAAATTACATTTTAAATGAAGTAATTTTGTACTTTTACTTGAGTAAATTTTGAGATGGTAATTTTACTTTTACTCTGAGCAGAGTTTAGGCAAAGTAAAGATACTTTTACTCAATTACTCTTTCCACCTCTGATTTTGCTTCATTGTTTTTGCTAAATATTTCTGTAAATGTAAATTTGAAAGAAATGCAAATCATCTGCTTTTTTTTTATTGAGATTTTTTTAAACGTATTTTTTTTTATTTTCATAATTTTTTTGACACATTTGTATTTCCTTTTTTTTTGTCAAATTAGATTGGGTATAAAATAAAAAAAAAAAAAAGGATTTTCTCCATTTCATGCTCAATAGCAAAACTACTAACGCCTGTAAAGACCAATAGGAATGTGTCTTCATTTCTCACTCCGTAGAATGAAGACAGTGTGATCTGGAAAACGCATTTTGAAAAAAATGAAATTTGTAAAACCCAATTAAAAAAAAATAATAAAGAAAAAATTTCATAGGACAAAATTTTTATATATTTCTTTAAACAATCTAAGAAAACATCAAATTGCTTCTCAAAACCCTTTTTTTAATGAAACACTTTTTAAAGTTTTACTAATGGGTTGCCTTCCTTTTTCAAATTTGGACGCACTTCTAACTTGACTTATTTATTGTAAAAGCGAAAACAAAAAAAGACAATTACAAAAAATATCTTGAAACTTAGTAGATCATCATTTTTGCTAAATATTTCTGTAAATGTAAATTTGAAAGAAATGCAAACCATCTGCGTAATCGTTTTTGAGATTTTTTTAAACCTATTTTTTAAGACTTTCATAATTTTTTTGACACATTTGTAGTTTCATTTTTTTTTGTCAAATTATATTGAGTATAAAAATTTAAAAAAATGTATTTTCTCCATTTCAAGCTCATTAGGAAAACTAATAATGCCTGTAAAGACCAATAGGAATGTGTCTTCATTTCTCACTCCGTAGAATGAAGACAGTGTGATCTGGAAAACACATTTTGAAAAAAAATGAAATTTGTAAAACCCAATTAGAAAAAAAAAAAAACTATTTAATAGGACAAAATTTTTTTTAAACAAGCTAAGAAAACATCAAATTGCTTCTCAAAACCTTTTTTTTTTTTGAATGAAACACTTTTTAAAGTTTTACTTATGGGATGCCTTCCTTTTTCAAATTTGGACAAACTTCCAACTTCACTTATTTATTGTAAAAGCAAAAACAAAAAAAGACAATTACAAAAAATATCTTGAAACTTAGTAGATCATTATTTTTGCCAAATATTTCTGTAAATGTAAATTTGAAAGAAATGCAACCCATCTGCGTAATCGTTTTTGAGATTTTTTTAAACCTATTTTTTAAAATGTTTTCATTTATTTTTTTTTGTCAAATTAGATTGGGTATAAAAATAAAAAAATAAATTGTATTTTCTCCATTTCAAGCTCAATAGCAAAACTGCTAACGCCTGTAAAGACCAATAGGAATGTGTCTTCATTTCTCACTCCGTAGAATGAAGACAATGTGATCTGGAAAACACATTTTGAAAAAAATGAAATTTGTAAAACCCAATTAGAAAAAAAAAAAAACTATTTAATAGGACAATTTTTTTTTAAATGATCTAAAAAAAAACATCAAATTGCTTCTCAAAACCTTTTTTTGGATGAAACACTTGTTAAAGTTTTACGTATGTGTTGCCTTCCTTTTTCAAATTTGGACGCACTTCCAACTCTACTTATTTATTGTAAAAGCAAAAACAAAAAAAAGACAATTACAAACAATATCTTGAAACTTAGTAGAAACTAAATTTAATGTTTGAAACTCTAAAAAAAAAGTGGTCAAAAAATAATTTTTCAAAACCCTCCAGTCCGCACCAGACATTAACCGACCCATCCATCAGCACCGGTCTGCTCTTAATCACTCAAATTAATGGAAGGGTTTAACAATTCAGAACCTAAACTATTCCAAATATAAAAAAATTATAAAAAATGTTTCTAAATTAACATAAAAATATATTTTACATACCACAAAAACTGAAGTGGTATAAATAAATATTTGGCATAAATGGCCACAACAACTGACAGTATAAAATCTGTGTCCTTGCATCTTATCTAAACGTTTACGTGAGTCTCCTTATCTTGCACATGTAAATGGGTCCAAAGTTAGCGGCCAGGTGCGGGACGACCATCTCACCCAGGTGGAGGTCAGGAGCAAAGTGAAAAGTGTTCCGGAACATCCGCACCAGAGGTCTGAGACTGACCACCTGCATGGAGGCGAGAAAAAGGAAAGAGGTCAGGACGTCGGTGGTCGCTGTGACTCAGCCGCCGCCCGGCGATCTACGGTACGGACCTGCAGCCGGATGCCGTGGTTCTCCTCCGCTAGCTGGACGGCTCGCTCCACCACGCCCAGGTTCTGGCTGGGACAGAGGGTGCAGGTGGAGTACAGAACCTCGCCTCCAGGACAAGCAGCTATGATTCCCGCCCTAAAAGGGAGGCGGAGGTGAAAAACGATCCAGAAATAAGTAAAATGCATTACATTAAGTGTATTTACCCTTAATTTGAGTAGATAAATGAGGTTATTTACAAATAGAATGAGTATTTTTACTCTTAAAATAAGATAATTAGATAAAATGCACTTGAAATAAGACAATGCCATTGTGTTTTTTTAATTTTAAGTGTTAATTGTCTTGTTGCATTGGCAAAATATCTGTTTTACCGCCTCAATCCAAGTCTAAATGCTCTGATTTTAAGAAAAAAAATGACTTTTCCAGTGCAGAGAAGCAACAGATGAGATGAAAAATGCTTCAATGGTGAAAGGCTTTACACTTTAGGGAGAGCTTCTACCTTTAATCATATTACTAACCAAAAACATCGACCGTGTGATGCAGGACATGAGAGACGCAGCCACCCACTTTCAAAATAAAAGGTTTGTAAAACGAGTGAACAGAAGAGGGAAGGTCCTCCTCTGGTCCGCTGTGGTTCCCTGGAGTCCAGAACCATCAGAAGTAAGGATGTCTCCCTCCGATCACGACATCGGCCCGATCTTTTCTTATTTTCCGGTAATCTGAGCTCGGCTACATCAGCTGACGAGTCGCGCCGATCTTCACAGCGACCGCCGTAAAGAAGCCGCTAGTTATGGTTGATGGCAGCTGTGTATTAGGACCCTGTCACACCTTGCCGATTTATCCAGCGTCTGCCTAACGTCCTAGAATCTCCTAAAACGCCGGCATACCATGAACTTTCTATGGATTTATTCAATTTTGGTCGGAGTATTCATAAAGAGCTCAGAACTTGTGTCCAACGACAGCCGAACTTATGCAAAACGCACAGCAGCGTAATGCCCAGGAAATGATGAACCACAAGGTGGAAGATAAACATGTGCAGAAGTAGTTTAACATACATGCAAGACCTGAGTGAAGTTGCCCCCCCCCCCACCTTCTTCAAATCAGACAAAATTGTTGTCAAACGTTTGTGCAGCAAAAATTTTCGTTTGTGCCGCTTTCGTTTTAAAGATATAAAGAAATATTTCTAGAGGTCATCAAAGGTCAACCAGCCCCCCACCTTTTTCAAATCAGACGAAATAGGTGTCAATTACCTCAGCTCTGTTTGTGCGGCAAAAAATTTCGTTTGTGCTGCTTTGGATTTGAAGATTAGAAGAAAGACTAATTGTGTCTGATTTGAAGGAGGTGGGGGGGGCCAACTTCACTCAGGTACATGTGAGCCGTTTTTTTTTGCACGCGGGGGTTTTGAAATAAATGTGATGCCATATTCCCTTATAGGGGTGGAACGGTTCACAAAATAGACGATTCGGTTCGGTTCACGGTTTCGTGGTCACGGCTTTCGGTTCGGTATATGTTGATTGTTACACCGAAAAATAAAAAAAAATTTATAAAAATGTATGAAAAATAAAAATTTATGAAATTAATGAAAAAAATCCCCCAAAATTAATGAATTGTAATTATTTTTAATGAAACCCTGGATAATTTCCGCATGTTTTGCTGCTTTGAATTTAATCATCTCTGCATGCCCTCTACGATCTCCAAGGAACTCAGAGCGGAGCGGACGGGAGCCACAGTGGAGGCTGTAGGCTTTGCTTTGTGCAGGCGGTCTAGAGCGCAGCGGGGCGGAGCGCTGACGGAGTATGAGGGATTTCGGGGTTAGCATGACATGTTGGTCGTGTTGCTGTTAGCATAAACAAAACGTGTTGCACAATGCTTGCACACTGTTGCACTTTTATCCACAACTTTCTTTCCGCCGTCATCGTAGGTCACTCTAAATGCAAAGAGGTCCCATACAGCAGACCTATAAAGTGCTGCTGGCGCGTCTTCCAACTCCTGTTCTTTCCCACTCGCCATACCCACACAATTCTCCACAACAACTGATTTTTTTCTGCTACACCCGGCTACGCTGCTTCGCTTCTTCTTCTTCTTGTTTACTACTGGTGGTTGGCTTTGGTCGCAGTACCGCCACCTTCTGCTCTGGAGTGTAAACGCTTCGTCTATGAGAAAAAGGAGCAACGCATGAACCGAACGAAACACACGCGAACCGAACGGTTCGGAGGGTTTTAATAAACCGTTCCATCCTTAGTGGACGGTGACGTGCGGAGGAGTAGCGGTGGATGTGGAACAGTTCTCATTGATTAACATCACAGACAAATACTCCGCACGGCGTACGTGAGTGGGGTGGGGCGCTGGCGGGGTATGTGGAATCTTGCGGTGAAATGCTCAAAACTCGCTGCAGGACCTTTTGCTGCGCCTTGACGCACATCAACCATTAACTTTGCATGTAAACTAGCTGCTTCTGCAGCTCAAAGCGCGTTAGGTGTGAACGTAGCATTAGTCATCGATAAGCCCCGCCCCCAGAGCAAGGGCCCTGCAGCGTGAAGCTGAACAAACTTTTCTTTTGGTTCATGTCATTCCATGTCTGGTTTAGTGTCTCCATCTTTCTTACAGCAGAAGCTCCTCCTGCAGCCGAGGCAGGCTCCGCCTTTCTCCGACTCGGCTCCTGCTGAACATGTTGTTGTCGTCCTCCATGAGCGAATGTCTGTCTGTAGTGCAGGGAACGTCGACAAGAACCTGAAGGCAGACAAACAAACCGACGAGGTCACCTTTTTAAATCACATCAGCTATGTGGGGAATTTTGCTTCCTTGTTGTTGCAAAGAACACGTTTGGTAAATTGAAATTTTAAAGGAAAGAATTTGAAAGAAATGAAAAAATTGTGTCACGAGTAACTTTGCTGTTTTTTCAGATTTTCTTTTTTTTTTAAATCAAATTTTGTTTTCCATATTTTATTTATTTACCGTATCATTTTAATAACTTAATTTTTTTTTTATAATTTATCACAATTTAAATACTAAATTTGATTTTATGTTTTTTACAAATGTCTCTTTTTCTGGTTGACTCTAATGAATTTCATTCTTTTAAATCATGTTTCCACATCATGTTCACCTTTAGGGGCGGGCCTTCCTGTGGCGTGAGGAGAAAAGATGCATTTCTATTGGTCGAAATGGACGTTAGTAACAACATTCTTATTGGTCTTAAAAATAAGACTGATCTGCAAAACATAATTTGAAAACACTGCAATTCTTGCAACACAATTTGAAAGAGAAATAAACAAAAATAAAAAAAATTGAATATGAAAATTAAAAAATGTGATTTAACAGTAAAGTTAGAAAACTTATTAAAACCTTTTTCTAAGTTTTATTCCTGGATTGCTTTTTAAAAAGTCTTTTTAAATTTGTTTTTTGCTTATGAGAATTTTGGAACAAAATTCTCCCCATAGTAAGGAACAAGTTTGGTAAATTTAAATTTAAAAAGAAAGAATTTGAAAGAAATAAAAAAAATTGTGTCAGGAGTAACTTTGCTGTTTTTTTTTCAGATTTTCTTTTTTTATATTATCAATTTTTGTTTTCCATATTGCATTCATTTATTCTTTTAATAATTAAAATTTCTATAATTTATTACAATTTTAAATACTATATTAAATTTTATTTTTACAAATGTCTCTTTTTCAGGTTGACTCTTATGAATTTTATTCTTTTAAATCATGTTTCCACATCATCTTCAGCTTTAGGGGCGGGCCTTCCTGTGGGCTGAGGAGAAAAGATGCATTTCTATTGGTCGAAATGGACGTTAGCAACAACATTCTTATTGGTCTTAAAAATAAAAGACTGATCTGCAAAAAACAAAATTTGAAAGAGAAATAAAAAAAAATAAAAAAAATTGAATATGAAAATTAAAAAATGTGATTTAACAGTAAAGTTAGAAAACTTATTAAAACCTTTTTCAAAGTTTTATTCCTGGATTGCTTTTTAAAAATTCTTTTTAAATGTGTTTTTTTGCTTATGACAATTTTGGAACAAAATTCTCCCCATAGCCAGAACAAGTTTGGTAAATTTAAATTTAAAAAGAAAGAATTTGAAAGAAATGAAAAAATTGTGTCAGAAGTAACTTTGCTGTTTTTTCTGATTTTCTTTTTTTTTAAATAAATTTTTGTTTTCCATATTGAATTTATTTATTCTTTTAATAATTTAATTTTCTATAATTTATTACAATTTTAAATACTATATTAAATTTTATTTTTACAAATGTCTCTTTTTCAGGTTGACTCTTATGAATTTCATTCTTTTAAATCATGTTTCCACATCATCTTCACCTTTAGGGGCGGGCCTTCCTGTGGGCTGAGGAGAAAAGATGCATTTCTATTGGTCGAAATGGACGTTAGCAACAACATTCTTATTGGTCTTGAAAATAAAAGACTGATCTGCAAAACACAATTTGAAAAGACTGAAATTCTTACAACACATTCTGAAAGACAAATAAAAAAAAAAAAGAAAGAAAAAAATTAAATATGAAAATTAAAAAATCTTAGTTAGAAAACGTATGAAAACCTTTTTCAAAGTTTTATTCCTGGATTGCTTTTTTAAAATTCTTTTTAAATGTGTTTTTTGCTTATGACAATTTTGAAACAAACTTCTCCCCATAGTCGGAGCGACAAACCGCCGCCATCGCGTAACGCCATCTCACCCTGTCGAAGGAGTTCCGTTCGATCTCGCCCCACATGGTGCCGTCAACAGAGGTGATGCGCAGCTTGTCGTCGGTGAGAAGCTCTTTGGGAGCGTAGCTGTGCAGGACCCTCTTTAACCGCGACGTCTGCGACACAGACGAGTCATTTAAGCACAGAAACCCTGCGACAAAGAAGCAGCGTTAGCGGACGGTTAGCAGGAGACGCGGAGGATGGGGGCGGCGGTGGATGAAGACCCCCCCACTCACTGGCTGACTGCGTCTGTAGCAAAGCCAGGGCCTTTCCACCAGGAGCGGCGCAGAGATCCAGAACCGTGTGATTCGCCTGGACGTCCAGCGCCAGAGAAGGCAGTACGGACGCCGCGTCCATCAGGTAGTAGCTCAACAGTCCAAACTTGTCTGGCCTAAAGGGGACAGCAGAGACGGATTATCGAATCACCAATAATCGATGGTTCTATTCAACAATTCACATCCTGTCATCTCGAGGCACTTTCCAGTTCACCAGATCATCCAGTCAGATTGATTCAAAGTTTCTATCCAAGGAAAACCAGCTGATTGCATCGACTCATTGACTCTTCAGCAATCCCTCACACTAAGCATGCTTGTAGCGACAGTGGAGAGGAAAAACTCCCTTTGAACAGGAAGAAACCTCCAGCAGAACCAGGCTCAGTGTGAGCGGCCATCTGCTGAGGCCCACTGGGGTTCAAGGAGACAGAAGCAGACATAGAAAAAGAAGCATAGATACAAAAGGCAGCTGTCAACCAGCTCCACAGGCGGCCCCGTCCAGGAAACACACAGCCAGGCAGACGAGCTCCGAGCCAGCTCCCATGTCAGAGGATGAAGAGAGCACATCCAGTTAGTCACAGCCAGAGAAACAGGACTACACTGGAAAACAGGCCAAGCTCCAACATCTAGAAACAAAGGTGTTGATGGCAGCAGCACAGCTGATATTTCTCTCCAGGATGGAGTCACAGCCAAACAGGAACAGACCAGATGAAGCTACTATGAGAAAAAGCAGAGAGAGCAGAACGTTAGAGATTGAACTAACAGATTCTGCAGAGTGGGAGAATAGAGATAGAATGAAGCAGAATGATGAAAAAGGGGTCCCTATGTCCTCCAGCAGTCTAAGCCTATAGCAGCAGAACTATAGAGATAGCTCTTATATTTTCTGTGCTGTTTACTGATAATCTGAAGTAGACCTTTGCTCACCTCGCAGGCTTAAACCGTGTGACATCTCCTCTAGGAAACACCAAACACTTTATGTTGGGACTGAGCCTCACAGGAGACTCCACCTTCTCCTCCTCTTCATCAGTCACTGTAGACACCCTGCTGGAGTCTTCCTCAGCTCCTAAATCAGAGCCCTGTTTGAAGGATGCTGAGGAAAACATGAGGTAGGAGCGGTTAGCTTTAGACCGAACTGTTTCTTCTGTTTTTTTTTTTTTTACTGATTTTATGTAAAGCACTTTGAATTGCCCTGTTGCTAAAATGTCCCATACAAATAAAGCTGCCTTGCCTTGATGCACGTCAACCATTGACTTTGCATGTAAAGCAGCTGCTTCTGCTGCCTCCGCTGCCTGCGCTCTGAACGTAGCATTAGAGAGGGCCGAATCATAAGTGACTCTCCTGTTTTTAATTTATTTTTTATTTTCTCTTCATATACATTTATATTGCATTTCCAAACAGTTTTTATTTTTTATGTTTTTCTCCATTATTTCAATTTTACCTCTTAAATTACACTTTCAGATTGTTTTACAGATTGTATTTTATTTTTTTCACCTTATATTTCTATTTTCATAGTTTTACAAATTTCGTTCTTTTCTGATTGCATTTCATGGATCACATTCTTTTCATTTCAATCCAAAGGCTCATTAACCAATCAAAATGTTAACGCTAATGCTAACGCCCAGCAGATCAATAGAAATGTGTCTTCACTCCTTATTTAAGAGAAAATTCAGCCCCCAGAAATGAAGAGGCTGTGGTCTGGAAAACTACATTTTCAAAATTAGAAAACTAAAATCTAATCTGCAAAAGAAAAAACAAAGTGAAAACAAAATCTGACAACGCAGCAAAGTTAATCTCAAAACCTATTTTCTGATTCAAATATTTTCCAAATTTTTTATTTCAGGGTTGTATTTTCTTTGCTTGCAACATAATGGACCAAAATTCACTCCATATTTTTTTCCCCTGTGGAGCTTTATTCACTGCAGCTAAAGGCCATAAACTATCCTGATGCAGACGTAGCGGAACCGCTCACCTACCCTCTCCACTGTTAATGAAGTCTCTGCAGCCCTGAGCCTGAAGTTCCTCCAGATCTGGATTATGACAGAAATTATTGAGGAGGGCTCCGTACTTCCGCTCTGACAGCAGGGCCACTCGGACTGAGGGCCACAGGTCCCCGAGCTGGGCGCTGTAGGTGGCATCAAAGTGCTGAAGGGCCAGTCTGGTGGGAGGATGTTTGGGAAGTGTGGTAGCCTGTAGGAGATTATAGACATTTGTTATCAGTTGGTGGCGGTAATGCACTTTAAACTGGTTTGCAAACAATAAAACCTCACGAGGAGGAGAAGAAGAACCCTTTCTGACTCCATACACTCTTACTTTTATTTGTTATTCAAGATGTTTTTTCCTTCTCTTCCCTCTTGAATAACAGATGAGGTTCTGCCAGTATGGAGAGAAATGTGTTCGTTTTGAAAGTAAAAAACACTTTACGTATCAGGACATTTGTAGAAAATAGGTTTTTTTTTAAATGAGAAAATTCTCATTCAAAAAAATAAATGTTTAGAGGGTAATTTAGAATAATATAGGTTTTATATGTTCAAATAACTTTGTCCAATTTTACCTTATAGTTTATATTTTTAGTTCTCATTTATTATTATTCCGGTATTTCATTTTTATTCTCTCCCACATATGCCAATTTTTTAAAAGCTTAATTTTGTACTACATGAAGATATAACTATAATTGCAAAAGAACAATCACCAGAGGTTTGAACAAAAATAGTAATTATAGATTAAAAAAAAAGAACTGAATAAACGTAAAATAGCAAAGTGAAGACATAGAATCATATAAGTGGATTACTTAATATTTTGAATTTAGAGCATAAAGTTTTAAAAGCATTTTTGTTATTGCAAGAGGATGATATATAGAAATAAATTAATTCATTTAAGAAAGAAATATATGAGGGTTTAGTCATAGTAATCTTAAATTTATGGAAATAAAATTTAGCCTCCCATATATCCCAGTTACATGTTCGGTTTTCCGCCGCTCTCGCTGTGGAAACTCCACCCGCCCGGTATAACGCTTCACCGGCTGGTAAATGGTGCGCACCCACCGACTCGCTTCTCCTTAACTGTCTCTCAAACCAAAACAACAAAAGTTCGTTCTTTCTCGCCTTTCGGTGACCTACCCATTTGCCTTTAACTCGGTGTCGTTTGGCCGTGAACGGTCTAATGTCTTTAATTCTCCTCAGTAAAACTGTTGAGGTCTCCAGGAAGAGCGCCATCACGAAGTGTGCAACAGCGTTTTCCTCCGGTTCCCTCTTCGTCCTCCAAAGAAACAGTTCCGCTGTACTGAAAATCTCTTGGGTGGGGCTTAGGCAAACTCTGCGTGTGATTGGACTAAATTGACGTCGATAAAACCTTTGACCAATAGAAAGCTTTACACGGAGGGAAGCGTTCTAGTCGTTTCCTGGAGTGTGACCGACCTCACGTCCTCGAGCAGGGACATTAGCGCAGCTTTAACTGAGCGGTTAGCTGGTTTAACAGTCACAGAAATGGTTTTTGAGAGGAAAATGCTCACATATGGAGACCCTGAGGAAGAGGTAAAGAACATATGAAAACCTGTGTTAAAGGAAGTCCGGTTGTGTTTCAGCTGTGGACTCCATGAGCGAAGGGTCAGCCTGAAAACATGGTCAAACTAACATTAAAGCTACTAAACACTGATTCTATTAATCAAGGCTTGAATGAATGAAATAAATGTAATAAACCGGGATGTACACATTTTTTTATGTTTAATTCTGAATAATTAATGAAGAGCTACTGCCAATTTTATTTAAATACGATTTCCCACCCTGTACTCTTTGATCATTGTTTAAATTTTAACTTTATTAATTTTTCCTGCCATTGATCAGGAGGAGGATGCTCCAGAAGAGGAAGAGGAGGAAGAAGAAGAGGAAGATCTAGTGGTAAGTCGTATGGAAATCATATTTAAATGTCAAATCATTTTTTGGGGGGATGTTTACCATTAGCCAATATTAGGCAGATGCCCCCCCAGTGTTGCCAAGAAGGACTGGGTTATTTACTTTGGCCTTTTTGGAAACACAGGAAGGAGCAATCAGCTAAGTGAGCTTAGTGCTTGGAAAAAATCTTTCATTCCTTTAGAGACAGCCTGAAAAGTCAGCTGAGTACAAAACATAGAGAGGAAAACAAGAAGAAAAGGGACAAGAAGAGAGGGACACTACCTAGAACAGATAATGGATGTCTATTCTATTAACATTTCTCTATCTGTAGAATGAGTCTGTTTTATGTCTTCTTCTCAATTCCCCCTGCCTGTTTTTGCCTAGGGCCCCAAATTTCCTAAATCCGCCCCTGCTCACTGTAGTTGAGTTGAAGTTCCTCAGGCTGGGAGGAGAAACCAGAAGGTTTCCTGGATCTCCTGGAGAATAAAAACCTGTTTTTAAGTCAGACTTGGACCTGAACGGCAGCGGCACACAGACGATTAAAAAACAGCTGCAGACTTGAAAATACAAAAAAATTACAGCCTGTATGAATAAAATAAAAATAGAAACCTTATAGAACCACCCAGAATCCAAAATGTTCTGATGTTTGGGTTATTATTTTACCGTCCTTCCCTCTGGTTTTCCTTTCAGGACCCCCTGGAAACGATACGAGCCAAATGTGAGCAGACGGAGCACTGCGTTCACCTAAAGGAGCGTCTGGAGGCGTGTGAAGCCAGGGTCGGGTCCAGGTCCAACACCGAGGAGGAATGCACAGAGGAGCTCTTCGACTTCCTGCACGCACGGGATCATTGTGTGAGTCTGAGTGACGCGCAGACGGGAGGGAGGGGCGCCACTATTGGCTGAGAGGAAAAAAAAAAATGTTTTTTTTTTCAGAGCTTAAAAATAAGAATTTAAGTTGTTAAAAATAATTAATCACATATTTAGAGAGATAAAAACAGGACGTAAACATTTTAAACAGGCTAAATCTTCTTGGAGGGAATTTGGTTCCGTTATTGAAGCGAGCAAAGAACACGCTATGCCGCGTTGGCGTTTCCATATAGAAGTAAAACAGTCTCATTGAAATCTGACTTTTTTTGTACACCGAATTATAAATACTGAATATTTTTAGCGCCGAATTTTAAACACTGATTGTTTTTTTTTTTTTTTTTGACATTATATTCCTTACACTGACTTTTTATCTAATGAAATTTCAGCTGCAAAAAATTCAGCTGCAGATGTGTCGACGTTTTGGTGAAGTCAAGCCAAAGCAATCTACACTGGGTGCAGCCGAGCAGCTTCACAGACCATGTTTTCAGGAGGACTTTCTCACTTCAACATAGATTCAAACTACTTTTTACCCGCTGATCACAGCAAATAGTAACCTGACTCCGCCAGATGGATTTGCTCCGCATATCCATCTGGAAACCTTCCGTAAAAGTAATTTTGGGAAGGGGCGAAAATACTGATTAGCTGATTGGCCTATGTTGGTGATAGACGGGCCAAATAAACCAATCAGATCAACAAAGCATATGACGTACTAACAGAGCGACGACGAAGAGGAGCCAATTGATAGATCAAACTCTTGCCGAAACCAGTCGGGAGAAGAGCAAAAACATCTTTTCCTCTGAGAAAAGCCTCCAGAGCAGTGTTTTGCTCTTCTTTCAGTGAAGAAATACTCTGTAATTCCGATAAAACTTGCTCGATAGCCACGCTAACGCTAGTTTCATCGGCTGAAGCCGCCATGTTCTTTAGACTGAACTGTCGCGCTTCTCGTTGCGTCACACCTCAACCCGCCTCAAAGCCAACGCTGATTGGACGTTCGTTTGGTGAACGGCTCCAAATTTTCTTTAAAGGAGAATTCCGGTTTTTAACACTTTTAGCCCATTTTCTGTAGTGTCCAGGATGAAATCGAATGATCGACACCAAAATTTTGACAATTGGTCCTGTCTCTGCTTTTTGGCTCATGCAGAATCCCCCCCTGGCTGCTTCAGAATGGCTTCCATTGTGCATCTCCGATAATGTCCTTAAAACAACCTTAAACGTTCTTTTTTTAAAATATGCTACTCACCGTGTCGTCAGCGCTGTTCAATGACGTTCCAAAAAAAGTTTCGTAAAGAAAAAACGTTCCTGTAGTGTTTTATTTAGCATTTTGTAAATCCCATTGAGTTCTGTTGGAATAGTCAATATCCCTCCGCCACCGGAAACGGAAATGGGGCCTGTTTACACAGTTGTAGTCTTTTCGCTTCACTCTGTGTACTCCGACGTCGAGAATCAAGAATCCACCTTTCGTATTCCATTTTCAGAGTTTTTTAAAGTGTTTAACAGAGACGTTAGCACCTCGACGTCGGAGTACACAGAGTGAAGCAGAAACACTTGGGCCTTGCGAAAAGACTACAACTGTGTAAACAGGCCCCATTTCCGTTTCCGGTGGCGGAGGGATATTGACTATTCCAACAGAACTCAATGGGATTTACAAAATGCTAAATAAAACACTACAGGAACGTTTTTTTCTTTACGAAACGTCATTGAACAGCGCTGACGACACGGTGAGTAGCATATTTAAAAAAAAAGAACGTTTAAGGTTGTTTTAAGGACATTATCGGACATGCACAATGGAAGCCATTCTGAAGCAGCCAGGGGGGGATTCTGAATGAGCCAAAAAGCAGAGACAGGACCAATTGTCAAAATTTTGGTGTCGATCATTCGATTTCATCCTGGACACTACAGAAAATGGGCTAAAAGTGTTAAAAACCGGAATTCTCCTTTAACGGAGAGTCTCCAGACTGATCTGCGAGTGAAACCTTGAAAGCTCGCGAGATCAGGATGGTCCCACGAGGCTAAGCTAATATAACTGCCATTGTTCCAGGCAAAGAAAGGATAGGGTAGCTCCACAAAGTTTGTGAATTCAGTTAAATAATTGTTCAAATATATCTGTCATTTGTGTGTTTTTAACTTTCTTCCTGTATGGGAAGCTTTTCAACATTTGAAACATTAGTGCAGTGGTTTATGTTAAATTAAACCTTTGGGTTAAGTTGGAGCAAGCAGGTTTATCTTGTGTTTCTTGTGAATTTGGTCTGAAATTTTTACTTCAAGTGGCATTAAAAAGTCTTGAATTTAACTTTCCTTATGCTGTAGGAACCCTGTCTTTAAGGCACATGTTAAAAAATGCATCAAAAAAGATCTCCTACTGCACCTTTAAGTCAAACATGAATTGAAATAAAATAATGAGCAAACTGGAGTGCAGTGAAATCCTCGCTCCGGCCCTTGAATTGAAAACCGCTCTGCGCTCCACCATATTTGGTCAGAAAAAAAAAAAAAAGGAAATTTGCCGCCGGCGGCTTCTTCCGGGTCAAACCAAAACCCTTGGCAGATTATTAGCTGTGATCAGCTCAGTTATTTCACCCAGTCTGATTAGATTAAAAAATTGTTGTCTATTAGTAGCTACCTGACGTTTTTGTAATCATATCTATTTAACAAGAAAAACTCATCGGATTCATTTAGCCGGGAACTACGGAAGAGGATTAGGGCCACTGAAAAAAAATAAGTTTACCGTCTTTTTTTTTATTTTATTTCAGTTTAATATGGAAAAAGTCAGAATTCAGACTTTTTTTCTAAGAATTCTGACAGCTAACAAACATGTTAGCATCAAGCCAATAGCCATGTCTGTTTTAGAGACTAGCTCTCTTGTTTTAATGACCTGAGAAAAAAGTAAAAATTCTGACTTTTTTACCATATTAAACTGAAATAAAATTTTAAAAATCAGTTAACTTTTTTTTTTCCCTTTCAGTGGCCCTAATCCTCTTCCGTAGGGAACAAAGCTATGTCCACACCCACAAATCATTGTTAAAGCTTAGATTTTTTATTTATTTTTTTATTGTTTCAGTAAAGCCTCTGACTGTTGCTCTGTTTTCAGGTTGCACATAAGCTGTTCCACGATGTGAAATGACCCCCGCCCCCTTGATCACCCCCCCCCAGCAGCTGTAGGACCCCATCTACTCCCAGTCGCCATGTTTCCTGCTCTCCTTCGTCCCGTTGAACTGATCGCCCGTCTTCACGTGCTCCTTCTCCATGGACACCTGCTGCTGCAGCGGAGCTAGAAGTTTCTAGCCAGACTAAATGGGTCAGATTAGAAATGTTTACCTCAGGTTTGGCCTTTATTCACTGTTCCAACTCTCAAATAAATATTTTCTCTTACTCTCTGGTTGTCTTGTGTCTCACGGTTTTACTGAAGCCGGATCAGCTCTAGATCTGATGCGATGCGACTTGGATTTTTACTCTACACCCCAAAACGGCCGTTATTGTTATGCAGCTTCAGCAGAAATGAGCTGATGTGGACCGAATCAAGCAGAACCTCTGAAGTACCGTTCGATTCTGCAGTGATGCTCCATCAGTGGAGCCTCCAGGAGATCCGCTTTTCATCCATGTTTTTTCTGCGGCGTTCATCATTCCTTCTGTCTCCCTCAGGCTCCATTTTGCCCAGAGTCCAGCTTGTGGAAGCATGTTTTTCCTCGGCCTAATTGGGGTGAAAGGAAGGCTAGGAGTGACAAAAGTGTTAAAAGTTTCCTCATCCTCCTTCATGCCGTAAACAGACACCTGTTCTGAAATGTTTATCTGGCCGGTGAAATATACTTTAACCTAACGGGGAACGTCCTTGATGAACTGAAGTTGTTTTCCTCCAAATGTTCATGGGTGATAAAGTTCTTAATGCAGGGGTGGGATGGTCCCAATGGAGAGTGTTGGGATTTGTGTAAACGTGTGTGATGGGCTTTCCCCAGTCAGAGCTTTTCTCTAACGTCTAAGGACGTAAAATAAATTTGAATTTCCTCTAGCAAGAGTCTCAGTTTCTCCACAACTTCACAAGCTAAATAAGTCATTTAGAGCCACAAACATCACCCGACATTTAATTAAAACTTCATTCTGAAATCTGATACAGGAAACGTGTTGCCACTGAAAAAAAAAATGTTTGGAGGCTGGGTCCGAACCCAGGTCGCTCGCGTCGAGGACTAAGGCCTCCATCCATGGGTCCAGTGCAGTTTAAAGGCAAAGTGTGGATTTCTTTCTATAGAACATTATTTGTGGAAAAGGTGCCTTCAAAGCAAATAACATTACTGGTTCTTTTAAGGTGATTCAGTATAAAAATCGGGCTGTTAAACAAAAGTTAGCCTCTCATTTTTATATACACTACTTAAAAAAATGAAAGGAACACTTTGTAATCAGAGTATAGCATCAAGTTAATTAAACTTCTGGGATATTGATTTGGTCAGGTCAGTAGCAGAGGGGGTTGTTAATCAGTTTCAGCTGCTTTGGTGTTAATGAAATGAACAACAGGTGAACTAGAGGGGCAACAACCATCATAACAGGAATGGTTTTACAGGTGGAGGTCACTGTCACTACTGTTAGCATGAGGCGCTACCTGGACCCTACAGAGGTTGCACAGGCAGTCCAACTCCTCCAGGATGGCGCATCAATACGTGTCATTGCCAGAAGGTTTGCTGTGTCTCCCAGCACAATCTCAGGAGCATGGAGGAGATTCCAGGAGACAGGCAGTGACTCCAGGAGAGCTGGACAGGGCCGTAGAAGGTCTACAACCCATCAGCAGGACTGCTATCTGCTCCTTTGTGCAAGGAGGAGCACTGCCAGAGCCCTACAAAATGACCCCCAGCAGGCCACTGGTGTGAATGACTCTGACCAAACAATCAGAAACAGACTCCACGAGGGTGGCCTGAGGGCCCCACGTCCTCTAGTGGGTCCTGTGCTCACTACCCGGCACCGTGGAGCTCCATTGGCATTTGCCACAGAACACCGGAATTGGCAAGTCGGCCACTGGCGCCCTGTGCTTTTCACAGATGAGAGCAGGTTGACCCTGAACACATGTGACAGACGTGAAAGGGTCTGGAGAAGCCGTGGAGAACGTTATGCTGCCTGTAACATCGTTCAGCATGACCAGTTTGGTGGTGGGTCAGTGATGGTTTGGGGAGGCATATCCATGGAGGGACGCACAGACCTATACAGGCTAGACAACGGCACACTGCCATTAGGTATCGGGATGAAATCCTTGCACCCATTGTCAGCCCCTATGCTGGTGCAGTGGGTCCTGGGTTCCTCCTGGTGCACGATAATGCCCGGCCTCATGTGGCGAGAGTATGCAGGCAGTTCCTGGAGGATGAAGGAATTGATGCCATTGATTGGCCCCCCAACGCTCGCCTGACCTAAATCCAATAGAACACCTCTGGGTCATTATGTTTCCATCCATCCGACGCCGCCAGGTTGCACATAAGATTGTCCAGGATGCCATCCGTCGTCTCATTAGGAGCATGCCCCAACGTTGTCCGGCATGCATACACGCACGAGGCGGCCATAAAAATTACCAAATTTGAGTTGCTGCAATGAAATTTCAGCAGAATGGACGAGCCTGCTGCATCTTTTCACTGTAATTTTAGGGGTGTCTTTGTATTCAGGCCTCTGTAGATTGATCATTTTCATCAAATGATGTGGCATCCTTTTGTTCCAAACACATCACCCAGTCCATATCAGTAGAAATAAACAGCATGATCCCCCCCCCCCCCATTGAAATCTGATGTGTTTTCAAAGTGTTCCTTTAATTCTTTTGAGTACACACTTCAAGAGGCCTGGGAGTTTGAGGGTTCTGCGCAGTATCTTTGCTATTCCTAGAACTGCACTCTTCTGGACCGAAGTTTGTGTTTTCACAAAATAATTAAAAGATAAATAAATGATGTAAAAAGTCTCACTTGTTGGGTTGGAGCTACTCCGGTTAAAATGTTTAGCATTCCAGTGAACAAACTGGTCCAAGAGTCTCCATTAAACTAAAGCAGCTGAAATAAGCAATATTTATTGATACTTTACAGATGATTATTTTTAAATTCACTGATGGAGTAGATTTTAATTTTACCATAAATATATAAAAGACTTTGATAGAGCTGGAGCTTTTATTTCAGTATAAAAAAAAACAAAAACAATAAATTACACATGGTTTCCTAGTTAAAAACATAAAAAGTCTTAAGTTCAAAGAAAAAGTGAAGTTGCTGAAATGACCAGCAGGTGGCAGTGCAGTCCAGCCAGTCCCATGGTAATTATTGTCTTGCACACAGTGCATACAGGTTCAGGGGAAGCCGATGTTCCTCATGGGAAATTTTCTTTGTCATTGGAGATAAAATGATCCATGGAGGCCTGAAGGGGAAGCAAACTCCATCAGTTTGGAGACATCAACCCAAAAGCAGCTCAATAACCAAGGATGAGCTCTGCACCCACCTGCATGAGCAACCTCTCCTTCCTCAGTTTCCTATAGAAGAGGAGAACGTCTGGGTCTGCCCGGACCACGTGTGGGTCAAAGTCCATGACCCTCAGACCCTCCAGGCTCCGGGCTCGGGACAGGGCCACGTACGCCTGGCCGCTCTCAAACACCCGAGCCAGAGAGATCTCCACACAGTCCAGAGTCATTCCCTGTAGAAGCAGAAGCCATTAAAGCTTTCCTGGTTTCCAACGTCTGCAGCAGAGCGAGAGCGGAGGACTTTACTGTCTCAGCTGGATTTTCAAATGCGAAGAAATTCATTTTGGTTGATTTGTGCTTTTCTTGTGAACGAGGGGCCAGATTTACTGGCAGCTCCCTGCTTAAAGACTGACAACAGAGTCCTGCTTTCTTACAGAAAAATCACCCGATTAAAGGAAGCAATAAAAAATCCAGACAGTTCATTAATTCATTACAGAAAACGGTTAATAACCTGATGAAACAAATTCATTTTCAATTACTAGAACTGAAGTATTTTGTATATTTACATACTTTGACGTCATTTTTTAACTAATAAGCCATGACTCTGTCCCTTTGGTAAATAAATATGAGACAAATGTTCATGTGTTTTCCCACAGGAGCTCCACCCATCCTACTAGAACACTGCAGGTAAAGGTCAGAGCAACACAATGTAGCCACCGGGGGCGCTTGACCTAAAAACCAAAAATCAATATAAGAAAAAGTGAAATTATAGATGGAGCAGGAAAAAATATATAATAAACAGCAAGTTACAATACTAATTTATTTGCATTAATAAACGCTAAAGTGTTTATTGAAAAATCTTCAGTCGTATTTCAGGGAAATTTCTGTTGAGCGTTTTCTGGTTTAATTAGCTACGCTTTTAATTTACGGAAGCAGAGGGTTGCCAACACACTGCAAACCGTACCGCAAGCAAAAAAAACGGCGACACTCACAAAATTAAAAAGGGACAAACAATGTAAAAAAATAAATAAATGCTGAATTCACAAAAAATAAAAAATATGGAGTGAAATTTGATTCAATTATCGTCGGAAGCAAAAAAAAAAAAACCCTTTGTAAGTTTGAAGAAAATGCAATTGGAAAAAATAAAAACAGCAGAGCTATTCTTAAAAAAAAAAAAAAAAAAAAAAAAAAGAGTTTTTAAAATTTATTCTTATTTCTGATTCAGATTGAGTTTTGTTTTTTTAAATCAAGATCATTCTTTTCAAATTACGTTTACGAGATCACATTTTCTTCACTTCAAGCTCAACAACAACACCATCTCTTGACCAATAAATATTTAGTTACCGAAGTCCAGTAGACAAACAGAAGTGCTTTTTTTCTCCTCAATCCCTAAAATAAAGAGAATGTCATCTGGAAAACACAATTTGAAAATAATGCAATTGTAAAAGAAAAGAAAATATGAATAAAAAGTTTAAAAATAAATAATTTTTTTAATCTAATTTGAATAAAATGCATTATGAAAAAGTAAAATAAAAAAAATGTGATTATCACATATCATTTGTATATTTAATTTTGTTTAACCATTAACAAAAAATTTTTTTTTCAACAATAATGGAACAAAATTAACTCCATATAAGCTCAGAGTTTGGATTCTGGCCATGAGGCTGCTGCCAGAAAAATGAGTTTATTGGAAAAGTTTACTACACCCGTTTAGCAGGGTCATCTAGGAACAAAGTGTCCGGGTCCAGATGTAGATCCACTTCTCCTCACTCCAAAGGTCTGGCTGTTTTATACGACGGAGTACTAGGGCCGGGCTAGAGATGATTTTTTTTCCTTCCATTTCAAGAATAAAGTTGTAATATTACGGCAATGAAGTAATTATACCGCAACCCGTTTCAGAAATAAAGCTTGGAGCTCCGCCCAGCAGATGACGGCCGACCAGCTCCACCAATCAGCAACCAGAGTCCACTTTGACATCCTGCCCAGTTTGATGCTGCTGCTAAAAGATTTCCTGATTTGTCAAACCGAAGCTAAAGTAGAACTTCACATGATGCTCCACATTCCTCATTTTAGGGAAGGAAGTGCTTCTTTTAAGAGTTGTCATAAAATACAAATTGTTTCTTGTAATTTTAGGACTTTATTCTCGAAATAAAATAAAATAAAAAACCTCTAGCCTGGCCCTGATACTCCGTCTTAGTTTTAGCCTCACTGCAGCTATTGTATCATTTCACTCTAATTTGCCTGACATAGCAGACCAGGACCTAAATGGCTCGTTGGGTCAAAAAGGGGTGAAATTCTGATAAAGAATGGTCTCATATTTGCCGTAGATCAGACCCTGCCCCCCCACCACACACACAATCAATGAAGCCAATTACCCAGAGGGCCGTCTTCCCCCTTCCTCAGCCAATTATTGAGTCTGGGGTCAGGATGTAGCAGCAGCGGCGGCGGTGGCTGCAGGGGTGAAGCTGCAGAGAGTCATTTCCTCTCCAAATAAGAGCTGTTGCCACTAATCTCCCCTTAGCCGACTCCTTCAGCTAGAAATACTTTCTAGAAAAGGTCCGCAGGAACACCGAAGGCTTCCATTTGCAAACTGAGGAGCAACAGGAAATCAAGGAGAGGAGAGCGGCTGTGCCGCCTTTAAAAATAAAAAAAGAAAATCCTCATTTTGGTCGGTGTAAATCAGAGCTGGGATCAAACCTATCTTCATCTTTAAAACTGGTTCAAATGGCTGAAAAATGTATGGAGTCAAATTAGTTCCATTATCGTTGGGGGAAATAATAAAACCGGTTTTGTAAATAAAGATTTGAGGGGGAAAAAAAGAGCAATGGAGAAATTTATTTTTTCAATCAATAAAGGCCTAAAAAAAAACAGATTTAGTGGCATCATTTACAGGAGATCTCTAAGAAAAAATAAATCTAATATACAGAGAATAACTATTTAGCTCCTATTAAGTTCCTCTTCCTCCTGTGCATCACCTTCTTTCTCTTTTACTCTAAAATCTCATCTTCATCACTAACTCGTAATATTTTCCTCATCCTCACTCATTTGTTCTAGCCTGATCTACGCCGTGGACACGGCTTATTAGTCTAGATCAGGGGTCACCAATTAAAAACCAGCAGGGTCCCAATAAATAAAAACCAGTAAAGGTCCGGAGACATTTTTAATTATAATCTGTTACTTTAAACAGAATTTAACACTGAAATAAAATGAGTTTTTTATGCTTCCATGTTGTACATTGAATTTTTAAATAAAAATAAAAAAAAATTCCATTTTAAAATCTAAAGTGTTTTTTGAAGTAGAGAACAAAAATCGTTCAGTTTGGTATTTAGACAATTTCCTGAGTGACATATTTTATAAAACACCTGAACTGACCGTTTGTTTTCCTTTTCCTGTGTGCTTTATATTCATTATCGCAGAACTTTTTCCACCAGCTACTTGTTTTTTCCCCCCATTCCTCCCTATATTTCTGCATCCTTTTTTTTTGTCGAAGGAGGAGCATCGCTATGCGAAGGTGCACCCCCCCCAAAAGCAGCGTCAGCATTTAAATTACTCCGTTCGTCCCTCATAAGGCTCTGTTGTCTCCCGCTATCTTCTCCGTGAGCAACACTTGGCTCGGCCAATGGGATGAGGGGATTCTGGATCGATACATATATGCTGTCACCTCATTGGTCACAGCCCAGGACAGGGCCCGGGAACAAGTTTACTGTAAGTTTTGTATCTAACGTGCCCTTGTTCTTTATTTTCCATCAGCTTTTTATTGACTTTTTTTTTTTTTTTACTCTCGCAGTAATACGGGACAAAGTGCGTTCATTTTCCACTAAATACAGGACAGGTACTTTTATTTCTAAATACGGAATGATTGAGTTTTTCCAGGGACGGTTGGCCACCCTAGTCCGGATTAGCCTGCGAATCCGTGACCTCTGCTCTAGATGGAAGCGGGTAGATTCTGATTTCTAAGGCCAGACTAACAGTCACCAGAAACAGGTTAGAACCAATCTGATAATTTTGGATGTTATGCACATCCATAATGAAAATTGCTAGTATATAATGAGCTCTTTGGGGTCACAAAGAACCTAAGAAAACCTGGTAATATTTCTACTTTTCAATTTCCTTTTCATTGTGATCTGCATTTTGTAAAAGCAGGAAGATCTGGAAAGTTTAGTCAACTTATTAAGAAAGACGTCAATAGAAATATAAAACCAGAAATACATTTAATGCAAGCAGTTCCATTTAGAAATATTGTTCTCATTGCAGCCACTTCTTTTTTATGTTACATGAGGATATATATTATGTTATGCATTATATATTTCAGTAACATAATGCTTAATCTAATTACAAGTATTTTAATGATATAAAGTAGGCGGAGGTAAAGAATGAGGACTCATTGAGGAAGGAAGAGAATGGATTAATAAAGGTATTTAATGGACAGATGCAGATAGGAGGGAAATTAGTGTCATTAATGAAGCATTGTTTTTATTTTTACATAACAAAAAATAAAGCTGCACACTGTACAGTAGGTGGCAGTATGCACCTATAAGTTGTTTGCAATCCACCAATCAAATGAAAGAAGAAGGTTGAGGACTCACCTGACTCTTGTGGATGGAGATGGCCCAGGCTAGTTTCAGGGGCAGCTGCTGTCGGCTTAGGTGGGTCCCTCCAGCAGATTTGAACACCCAGCGCTCCGGTCTCAGCACCTCGGTGGCCCCACACAGGAAGCGGACACATGGGAAACCTGGGGGCCACGAATGGGAGAGAAACAAAAAAACAGTGGAAAGGGTTCTTGATAGGAAACGACATCACAGGACAGCGACAGTAATTTGACTTGCGTAGAAACTGAGAAGCTATACGAAACCAACCATGGTTTTATAGAGGATAAAAAGTGCCAAAATTAAATAAATACAGCATTAAATAAATAATTAAATGTGTCAATAATTAATTAAATGTGGAATTAAATAAATAAATGTGTCATTCATTAATTAAAACCACGTCACTAATATAAAGTGCCACAATTAAATAAATAAATACAGTGATAAACAATTAATCAAATGTATAATTCATTAAATAAATAAGGAATTAAATATATAAACGTGTCATTAATTTAATAAAATACATCTTCATTTTATAAAAAAAATCTATATAATTATTTCAGTGTGCATTTAATTATTTCATGGTCCTGTGTCGCAGTGCATCGAAACCATTAAAAGAATCTGTCAAACTCACCCATCAAAGTTAGGGGGCGGGGTTAACGCGAATCAAGTCTCTGTAATCGATTTGCTTCGCCTTAATGTGCAGGGTGACCAATCAGGTGTTAGATAACCGCCCCCTAACTTTGATTGGTGAGTTTGACAGATTCTTTTAATGGTTTCGATGCACTGCGACACAGGACCATGAAATAATTAAATGCACACTGAAATAATTACAGGTGCTGGTCATAAAATTAGAATATCATGAAAAAGTAGATTGATTTCAGTAATTCCATTTAAAAAGTGAAACTTGTATATTATATTCATACATTACATACAAACTCATATATTTCAGATGTTTATTTTGTTTAATTTTGATGATTACAAATGACAACAAATGAAAATCTCAAATTCATCATATCAGAAAATTAGAATATTACTGAAGACCAATAAAAACAAAGGATTTATAGAAATGTTGGCCAACTGAAAAGTATGAACATGAAAAGTATGAGCATGTACAGCACTCAGTATTTAGTTGGGCCTCCTTTGGCCTGTATTACTGCAGCAATGCGGCGTGGCATGGAGTCGATCAGTCTGTGGCACTGCTCAGGTGTTATGATAGCCCAGGTTGCTCTAATAGTGGCTTTTAGCTCTTCTGAATTGTTGGGTCTGGTGTATTGCATCTTCTTCTTCACAATACCCCATAGATTTTCTATGGGGTTAAGGTCAGGAGAGTTTGCTGGCCAATTAAGAACAGGGATACCATGGTCCTTCAACCAGGTACTGGTAGCTTTGGCACTGTGTGCAGGTGCCAAGTCCTGTTGGAAAATGAAATCTGCATCTCCAAAAAGTTGGTCAGCTGCAGGAAGCATGAAGTGCTCTAAAACTTCCTGGTATGTGGCTGCGTTGACCCTGGACCTCAGAAAACACAATGGACCAACACCAGCAGATGACATGGCACCCCAAACCATCACTGACTGTGGAAACTTTACACTGGACTTCAAGCAACGTGGATGAAGTGCCTCTCTTCTTTTCCTCCAGACTCTGGGACCTTGATTTCCAAAGGAAATGCAAAATTTACTTTCATCAGAGAACATGACTTTGGACCACTCACCAGCAGTCCAGTCCTGTTTCTCTTTAGCCCAGGCAAGACGCTTCTGACGCTGTCTGTGGTTCAAGAGTGGCTTGACACAAGGAATGCGACAGCAGAAACCCATGTCTTTCATACGTCTGTGTGTGGTGGTTCTTGAAGCACTCACTCCAGCTGCAGTCCACTCTTTGTGAATCTCCACCACATTTTTGAAGGGGTTTTGTTTCACAATCCTCTCCAGGGTGCGGTTATCTCTCTTGCTTGTACACTTTTTTCGACCACATCTTTTCCTTCCCTTCGCCTCTCTATTAATGTGCTTGGACACTGAGCTCTGTGAACAGCCAGCCTCTTTAGCGATGACCTTTTGTGTCTTGCCCTCCTTGTGCAAGGTGTCGATGGTCGTCTTTTGGACAACTGTCAAGTCAGCAGTCTTCCCCATGATTGTGTAGCCTATAGAACTAGACTGAAAGACCATTTAAAGGCTTTTGCAGGTGGTTTGAGTTAATTAGCTGATTAGAGTGTGGCACCAGGGGCCATCAATTTTGAACCTTTTCACAATATTCTAATTTTCTGATATGATGAATTTGAGATTTTCATTTGTTGTAATTTGTAATCATCAAAATTAAACAAAATAAACATCTGAAATATATGAGTTTGTATGTAATGTATGAATATAATATACAAGTTTCACTTTTTAAATGGAATTACTGAAATCAATCTACTTTTTCATGATATTCTAATTTTATGACCAGCACCTGTATATATATATTTTTTTAATAAAATGAAGATTTATTTTATTAAATTAATGGCACCTTTATATATTTAATTCCTTATTTATTTAATGAATTGCACATTTAATTAATTGTTTATTGCTGTATTTATTTATTTAATTGTGGCACTTTATATTAGTGACGTGGTTTTAATTAATGAATGACACATTTATTTATTTAATTCCACATTTAATTAGTTATTTAATGCTGTATTTATTTATTTAATTGTGGCACTTTTTATCCTCCATATGGTTTAACCAATAGACTAATTATATATACATATACACCTGTGTAAATATGTCTATTTAGCAATAACAAAAATATAAAAATGTATGAGTGGCTGTGCTTTGCAGCAAGCATACATCCTAACAGAATATTACTCTTAACCCCACTAAGAATATTTAAATACACTGAAACATTTGTTTGTTTTCAGTGAAAAAAAATAATAATACAACAATGAAAATGAGTTAATATTCAGTAAATTAAAGGTGAATAAAATAGATTCTATGCCTGCTCAACACATTACTGTCGACCGCCTCAAGATGGCGCCAATGTGGGTTCTACTCTTATGTCTATGGTCCCTCCTCCGGGGGCTATATGTAGAGCTCCCCCTACAGGTTTGGTGGGAGACAGTTCAGTAGATAGCAGCAGCGTATGAATGGACGTTTTATAAAAAACACTTTGTGGGTGCAGCTTATTACGGAAGAGGATTAGGGCCACTGAAAAAAAAAATGTTAACTGTTTTTTTATTTTTTTATTTCAGTATAGTATGGGAAAAATCTCAGAATTCTGAGTTTTTTTCTCAGAATTCTGAGAAAAAAAAGTCAGAATTCTGAGGGGAAAAAAAGTCAGAATTCTGAGGAAAAAAGTCAGAATTCTGACTTTTTTTCCCCCACGTTAAACTGAAATAAAATTTAAAAATCAGTTAACTTTTTTTTTCCTTTTCTCTCCAGTGGCCCTAATCCTCTTCCGTAGCTTATAGTGATGTGTGCTCTGTAACCTGGAAAATGTGCTACTTTTGGCTTCTAGGTTCATGCTTTGCAGCAAAAGAAGAAAACTGATGCAAACCTTGTTTCCCCGAGTCAAAAGCGACCACTACTCCCCGAGCTCCGTTCACCAAACCTCGAGCAACATCCAGATTTTTGGTGAGCATGACCTTTGGAATATAAATAATAGAAAAATAAAAGTTTATATCCAAACAAAGGAGATCTTTTCACATAATAGCAGGAGAAACCTGGAGCTGAACCTACCTGAGCTCCAACTTTCAGCTGGATCAGCCTGCTGACTGGGCTGTGAGCATCGATGGTCTTCACCTGTTCTGGGTCGCTATCTAGAGCCTCAAAGGTCCTCAAAGTTCCTAAAAGACAAAAAAAAAAAAAAACACTCAGGCTTCCAGCTAAAGTGACATGTCTGTCTTTTATTCATTTAATTTTCCTTTTGGATAGTGGTATTTAGAGAAACAAATGAAAATTAAAAAAAATAAAAAAAATACAAAAAAAAGGTGCCGTTTGATTTTCCTTTAATACTAAAACTAGATATTTAATATAAAGCATAACTTTTTCTTTCTCACTTCAAAATAGATTCAAACTACTTTTTACCCACTGATCACAGCAAATTTTAACCTGACTCCGCCAGATGGATTTGCTCCGCATATCCATCTGGAAACCTTCCGTTGAAGTAATTTTGGGAAGGGGCGAAAATACTGGTTAGCTGATTGGCCTATGGTGGTGATAGACGGGCCAAATAAACCAATCAGATCAACAAGCATATGACGTACTAACAGACAGACGATGAAAACACAACCATGAGCCAGGCTACTCTTGCCGAAACCAGTCGGGAGAAGAGCAAAAACATCTTTTCCTCTGAGAAAAGCCTCCAGAGCAGTGTTTTGCTCTTCTTTCAGTGAAGAAATACTCTGTAATTCCGATAAAACTTGCTCGATAGCCACGCTAACGCTAGTTTCATCGACCGAAGCCGCAATGTTCTTTAGAATGAACTGTCGCGCTTCTGGTTGCGTCACACCTCAACCCGCCTCAAAGCCAACGCTGATTGGACGTTCGTTTGGTGAACGGCTCCAAATTTTCTTTAATGGAGAGTCTCCAGACTGATTAGCGAGTGAAACCTTGAAAGCTCGCGAGATCAGGATGGTCTCACGAGGCTACGCAAATATAGCTGCCATTGTTCCAGGCAGAGAAAGGATAGGGTAGCTCCGCCCACCACGCATCAGACCCACTTTTCCACTGTGCAGCTAGAGCAGAAAGATCCTTCAGCCGGGCGTCAGAACTAATTTTGTATAAACATAAAAAATTAAGCAGCACGCGCGTTTTTGCTGCTCCTGCTGCGTGCGATCTGAACGTAGCACAACGCTCCATTCAGACCAATATCGGTAGATTTCCCACAGCATCTCTCTGCAAACGGCGTGGGGGAGAGGCCAGTGGTGAATCCCATGCTGAGTTGTCAAACAGCGGCGCCGCATGGCGAGAGCGGAGCAGCGATCGATGCAGTTACAATCAGGGACACCGACTTAGGGAGACGAAGCTTTTATTCCCCCAAGTTAAAAAGGAAATAATAAAAAGGATGAAATAAGCAACACTCTGGAGGGGCATTTTTTTTTTTTTTTTTGCTTTTAAATACAAGATTTGTGTCTGGAATGATGGATTTACAATTTAGATATGTAATATTGTGCATAACTTCAGGTACTTGTAAATGTGTGTTCAAAAAAGAAATACAGTGAAATTATAAATAAAAAAATAAGACAAAAATGTGATAATTACAAAACTAAACCATTAAATTAATTCAAAAGAATCATAAGAAGCACACAGACTAAACGAAAGCTAAAGCTAGCTAAGCTAAGACACGCCCCCACGCAGAAATGCAGACAGAAATGTAAAAACAGGCAGAAATAAACAGCATGGAAGAACTAAATACGGTAAAAAAAATACAAAGGAAGAATAAAATAGACAAAAATATTATAACATGCACATAAATAATTCATACATAAAATTGAAGATAATGGACAATAAATAAGGTAATTATTACAAAGGCGAATAAAGAAGCTATTTAAGAGGGATTCATACATTTATGTCTCGCTGTATAATTTAATTTCTACCTACATTTATTTGTTTATTTTATTTTCGGGGGCATTTAATTGTACGCTTGTTTATTGAGCATTTATTTATTTCTGCATTTAATTTTAAACGTGGTAGAGCTGGTCCTCCATATCCAGAGAGCTACCAGATTACTGTCTGCATGGTGCGTTTAAATGCTGTCAGAAAGCTGGGTCATCTGAGCTTTGTTTTGAGTTTAGCTTTTTAGTTTTTTGTGTTTTTCCACTGAACTTATTTCACTTTATATGCTACTTGAGCAAAAAGTGGCAAAGACGTTTTTCTGAGGCAAACGGGAGAGTTGGTTATAGAGCTACTACACCGAACAGGAAGCATTTCTCAGAAGCTGAAAACTGCATCCTGTGGAGACGAAATAAACCAAAACACCTTCAGGTGGAAGCCGATTAATTGGTTTACTGTTCAGTTTAGGCTCAGGGAGCAGAACTCCAGCGGCGTCCGGTTGGTCCTGCATCAGTGTGAGGAAGGGAAATAAGGGAGGATATTCAGACCTGGCAGCTGCTGGAGTTTGTTCTGGTTGGTGAGCTCTACGTCATCCTTGTGCGTACACAGCCTGGTGGCCAGGATCCCGTCCCGCTCTATCTGATGGTAGGCGCTCTTCAGCAGCTTGGCTGTGACTTCCTCCGTCACCCTGAGTTATTGAGAGAGAGAGACATTTCCTTTAGAAAAAAAAAAAAAAAAAAAAAAACCTCACATTTTTAACACCAATATGGCGTACTGATGGAAGTACGCCTTCTGTAAACCAATAGACGTACATTTCTGAAGAACTTTTAACCCTGTAATGCCAAATGTATCGTATTTGATACATACGGTTTCTGAAATGTTTTGCGTCTGACACCTTTTGCATAATTTAATGGTAAAAACTTTGCTCAAAATCCTATTGTACACAATCAGATATACCTGATAACAGCCAGTAGAAGACGACACAAAAAATACTCTTGACTTATCGCATAGTAATAAATTATTAATATCAAAAATGTCTGTTTTTTCTTTTTACATATTTTGTTAAAAGGCCAAATAAGGAATTCAAACCAAAAAAAAAAAAAAAGTAATTTTCTGTTTTGATTTATTCCTGGATCGGGCTTTAAAGGGTTAACATTGCTTTGCTATCATACAAAATAAACTGAACCATCTTAGTGAAATAAAAGTATGCACCGAGGGAAAAACTAAACAAAAAGGAAAAATAAACCATATAACCAAAACAATGAATAAAACTGATTAGAAATCATGTAAAACCTTCAAAAAGTATTAAAAACTATTATCTATTAAGAACAATAGAGCTGAACCGATTAGTTTTACAAACAAATCTAAATCTCTTTGTGTTGCAGGAGCAGCTAAGATGGGATACTCAGGAGGATGCAGTAAATTAATATTTATGATGGAAAACAAAAAAAAAATATTTTTTGTTTTCCTCCATTTTAAAACCTGAATATGAGGTTTGTTTGTTTTTTTTCCCCACACTCGTATTTCCTCAGGCTGCTCAGCACTGGCGTGCACAGACATATTTAGGGGGCAGGTGCTCACAGGTTGGAAAAAGGGCACCTTATACGTCGCATGGAGGCGCCGTCTGATGCTGACGTTTAACGATCTTTCGCAGTCCATAGGAAGCAACGCTACATCGGTGTCTTGATTTGAGTGGGGTTAGGATGGTTATCATTGATGTTGTGAGTTTAGTACACCTTAATATTAGCTGCCTGTTGAGTGTCAGAACTGATGTTTTCCTCAGTAGTTTATCTGATGTGGCCAGTTCCTCTGTATACACAGTTATAATCTATATTCTGTAGGGAAGCGGCTGTTGCACTTGTTGCATTTCCGAATCCTCCCGAATGGTGCACGACTTTACATGAGTGAATAAAGTGAATGTGATTGGTCGTTTATCAAGGGGGCGGGATTGTTTTGGCAGGAGGTTCACAAGCAGGTTTGGTTGTGTCCGGTTTGTCGGAAGCATCGTTGCTAACCAGTAAGCAACTTAGTGCTAGTAGGTTCCCAATTGGAAATTCCATTGGGACCAAGTTCTTGAGATTGACAGCTTTCCCAGCATGCACTGCGGCAGCAGCAGCCTTCTATGGAGCGCTCACAGAGCTCAGAGTATTAAGTTAAAAGTTCCCTTTTCTGTTGTTCAATAAAAGTAAGTTTTAAGATCATTGGAGGCAAGAATATTATAAAGCCTTTAAAGCGTCACTATATGGTCCATTTACCAATTTAATGCGTAATACATTTTTTTTTTTTTTATTCAGAAGTTGAGAACCGTGGCAACCAGCGGAGCTCCGAGGCTAACGACATTCAGGGCTAACCGTAGCCCATCTGCAGCAGCCTTCTCTCTGCATAGCCGTGTGGGAAGGACCGCTGGCTCTGATGGAGGGTTTTTTTTGTTTGTGTTCATTATTATTCACCCACTAAATGAAAAAAAAGAAGAAAAATCATAATTTATTAATATCTAGAGACTATTAATAACAGGGGGTGAAATGCAGCTCCAGACGATACAAGTGTGTGGTGATGTCATCAATTCGCTTCTGTTCCAGTTGACCCATATTTATGCTCCGTGCTCCCGTTCTTCCCAAGTCCAGGCTTTCCTGGGTACTTCTGAAGAACAGACTTGGCGAGAACACGAGTCCGTACTCGCCTTCTAGTGAATTTAGAAACAGCTATAGACAGGTATTGGTAGCCTCGTGAGACCATCCTGATCTCGCGAGCTTTCAAGGTTTCACTCGCAGATCAGTCTGGAGACTCTCCGTTAAAGAAAATTTGGAGCCGTTCACCAAACGAACGTCCAATCAGCGTTGGCTTTGAGGCGGGTTGAGGTGTGACGCAACGAGAAGCGCGACAGTTCAGTCTAAAGAACATGGCGGCTTCAGCCGATGAAACTAGCGTTAGCGTGGCTATCGAGCAAGTTTTATCGGAATTACAGAGTATTTCTTCACTGAAAGAAGAGCAAAACACTGCTCTGGAGGCTTTTCTCAGAGGAAAAGATGTTTTTGCTCTTCTCCCGACTGGTTTTGCCAAGAGTAGCCTGGCTTGTGGTTGTGTTTTCGTCGTCGCTCTGTTAGTACGTCATATGCTTCGTTGATCTGATTGGTTTATTTGGCCCGTCTATCACCAACATAGGCCAATCAGCTAACCAGTATTTTCGCCCCTTCCCAAAATTACTTCAAGGGAAGGTTTCCAGATGGATATGTGGAGCAAATCCATCTGACAGAGTCAGGTTAAGGTATTGGTATTTCAGGCTAACAAAGAAACAAAACGACCCCCATTCCAAAGGGGTGGACCCGGTCATCAGGTTCTATTTGCATGTTTTCTAAACAAAAACAAGGCTTTGTTTTTGGTCCACTCTATAAAGCCTGGAACTCAACACTATTCCTGACATATTGAATTGAAAAAGCTTCCTGGATGGGAAGAGAAACATCTTCAAACTTGGAAACAAAGTCCAGTGGATTGTTTTTTTTTTTTTTTTTTTATGAACTGGATGAATGAAAATCTTATCAGAATATTGTAGAACAGACCTTTTTTTACCCCTTCACCCAGTAGAACACAATATTTACTTCTCGTCAACAGTCTATTGTTTAAAGGAAAGAAGAGAATGAAGCGAACGCTTCCCGTTTTTTTACCTGCCCACCCTCACTGCCTGCAGGACGGAGATGAAGCTCTGGTCCGTTTGCCTCCTTACTTCTGTCAACTCCATGTTGACCTGGATGACCTTCCGCCAACTCCTGGCCTGAAAATTAGAAAAGTTTCCCTTCAAGCCCAGAATGTCCGCAGAAGACGAGCAAAGACTGTAGGAGAGGCTGCTGCTGCAAACTTTTCATATAATGAAGAAATCAGGAAAAAACAATGTTTGAAAACCACTTAATGAGCAGTTTAGTTTTAAACCCAATTAAACATTTATTGGTTTGAAGAGAAACTACAGACACGCGAACCTGGAAGCAGAAGCTGGCCTTTTCCTTCCCTTTAGAAACTGGAGGAAGCTGAAGGAAGTCCCCACAGACGATCAGCTGGATGCCTCCGAACGGCTCCGTGGACCTCCTCACCGACCTGTTCCAGAAAGAGAAAGGACTCGTTCATCACAGACATCATTAGCGAATTTGAATTATAGATCTGATTGTTCCTTATGTTCCTAACAGAGCACTTCGCTCTCAATCTGCAGGTTTACTAGTGGTTCCTAGAATTTCAAAAAGTAGAATGGGAGGCAGATCTTTTAGTTATCAGGCTCCTCTCCTGTGGAACCAACTACCAGTTTTAGTCTGTGAGGCAGACACCATGTCTACTTTTAAGGCTAGGCTTAAAACTTTCCTTTTTGATAAAGCTTCTAGTTAGAGTGGCTCAGGTTATCCTGAGCTATCTCTATAGTTCTGCTGCTATAGGCTTAGACTGCTGGAGGACATAGGGACCCCTTTTTCATCATTCTATCTCTATTCTCCCACTCTGCAGAATCTGTTAGTTCAATCTCTAACGTTCTGCTCTCTCTGCTTTTTCTCATAGTAGCTTCATCTGGTCTGTTCCTGTTTGGCTGTGACTCCATCCTGGAGAGAAATATCAGCTGTGCTGCTGCCATCAACACCTTTGTTTAGAGAGTACTTGGTGTTCAAGGTTTTTTTTTTTTTTTTTTTTATAGAAATTTTCTAACTTTTGGGACAATATGATCTAATAAAAAGTACATTTATATACATGTTTAAGCCAGAATTATTTGAAATTTAAATATGATTTTACTATTTAATTTTTAGAAGCTTTGCTGGTTTAATTCCCATTTCAAACTACGCTGATGTTCATATTTAGGCTTTAATCCAACCTGGCAACGGACTCAAGTTTGTCAAAGAACTGGGCCTCCACCATGGAGACCTCATCGATGATGAGGTGTCGACAGCTGGTCCAGTGCTGCAGCACACCGGGCCTCTGAGCCAGCTCGATGCACTGCTCAAGGGGGGCGGAGCCTGAGCCAATACCTGGAATAAAGAGTGGAAATGGAACAAAATGTTAATGGAACATCTAACACCCCTTTCTGAAGTGTTAATTATAAGAAATACTGAGTCATGCAGCACAAATCGTTCAAAGACTGATTCAGCCTCAAAACTGTCAGAAAGAAAGAGGTTCAAGCTTTACTGGTTCAGGTTCAATGTCAGCCTGGACAACAAAAAATAATAAAAAAAAAAAAAAAAAAAAAAAAAGGAAGAGGGTGTATATTGATTTTATTAAAACCAAAAATAAAATCAATTTGAAATTATTTATGATCCTTTGCATTTCAAAATCTGAACATTGGACAATGATTTCAGCTTCTATCAACATAGATGAAGCTAAGATGAACTCTTCTCATCCCATTTCTACGGTGGCCCTGAAGTGCAAACTGCAACTACAAATCTAAAAGCGCAACTACATTAAGGAAAACAAAATTACATGAACCTACCGGAAAAGGTAGGTACCAGTGGGAAACATGAGACATCGCTGATTGGACGACGGCGCCGTTTGACCCTTGAACCGGAAGTTGCGTCGTCTGAACAGTCCAGCTTCTTTTAAGTGTGTCTTCAGTGTACGCAAACTAACTGAAATTTGGTGATTAGTCTTGAGCATATCCAGTATCACCTCGTACGTATGTCCTGATTCAAAATATTCCCGGATAATGGCAGCTATGTTTGGGGTGCCGACAATATCCATGTTTTCAAAAGCCGCAGCAGGCAGAATGACTTCCGGTTCAAGGGTCAAACGGCGCCGTCGTCCAATCAGCGATGTCTCATGTTTCCCACTGGTACCTACCTTTTCCTGTAGGTTAATGTAATTGTGTTTTCCTTAATGTAGTTGTGCTTTTAGATTTGTAGTTTGCAGTTTGGACTTCAGGGCCACCGTACATTTCTCAACCATAAGCTTATTTAAAATGAAAAAAGTCATGTGAGGTTCCCTGTGGAGTTTTGTCCCATTATTATAAAAAAAAAGAAAACGTGTTTCATAAACAGAAATTCCAAGAAAGAAAATGCAAATAAAAACTTCTTGGTCAAAAAAAAAAAAAAAAAAAAAATTTGTAGAACTTTCCTGCTATGTACATCCAATATTCCCTGAGGGACTCAGTACGGGGACATACACTTGAATAAATGTATTAATGAAAGCAGCGGCTGGTGGAGTTTTCTCCAGGGGGCGCTATAAATTCAAAATAGATGTATACCAAAAACCAATCAAACATATACCAAGTTATCACACCAGCATATTTATATGAATTCCAACACAGAAATCATTATAAAAACTCTTCATAAAAGCAAACAAACTATGTAAAGGTTTACTTTTTGTACATAACTGTTGCCCTTCTGAGGCTGTGAAGGTAAATCTGTGTATCTGTGTTCTGCATGGTCCAATATGGCGTCACTGACCTAAAAAAAAAAATCTACCAGTTTAATAATTAAGAAGCTTTATATTTGTTTAGTATATAAAAAGTATGTTCTGATAATGTTTATTTAAGAGCAACTATACAAATTAAGAAACGTCTAGAAAAAGTAACTATATTCTATTATTTTCCATGTGAATCCCAGATTGGTCATTTTCTTTGCCTTTTCTAAAAAAAAAAGTGATTTAAATCAGTCATAGCTGTCTTTATCCATGCTGGATCAGATCCTGATGATTGAAAAAGCAGGCAGGGAAAGCAGGATAAAGCTTTAGCCTGACTGCATGCAGTTAGCCTAGCCTTGGAGCTAAAGCAGGTCCTGGAAAAGAACGTTTCTTGCACCATTTCTCTCTCGCCAATGTGTCTCCATTCCAGAGACTCGACCTGTCAGTCACCCGCAAAAGGTCTGCATTGTTGCGGGAGGTGCTGAGCAAAAACACTTCCTATCACCTCAGGGCACAGCTCTCCTGCGTCCAGAGCTATGCTATGCATGTTTATTGCAGAGGAGCTACTGCGCATCTACAACCTTTAGAGTCGTAGAGAAACGGCCGTTCCAACCATTGCATTTCCCAACGGTTCCATTGGGACCAAGTAGCACTAAATTGGTGACTTAGAAACGACGCTGTCAAGGAACGCTATGGACAGTGGAAACATGCAAGAGGAGGAGAGTTTAGTGTCGGAGGTCGTGGATGAGTCTCCTCCGTCATCCATTTTTTATTTAGAGGAGGAAAGCGGGGACGAAGATGTTGTGGAAGAGGACGCCAGGGCGGCAGAAGCTTGGTTTGGTGTAGAAGGCTTCCAGCCGTACATGTTTGAGCCCTTGCCTCGCAACGCTGCCAGTTCTGTTAGCTCTACGCCTGCCGAAGACACAGACGTCCATCCCCGTGAACACTGGGACGCAACTCAATGGGAAAGGAAAGGATTCTGGTTTCAACCGTTGCGTATATTAGCTGCGACATATGAATCAAGATGCTATGACCGAAAACATTTGATTTGACAGATGACCGTTGATATATGATTGGCCGAATTTAGGTGTTCAGGCTGACGTAGAACTAACTGGCCTGCAGAAGATAACGGAAAAAAAAACAACACAGATTTTAAGACAGGATATATTTTTTTCTTAAATAGAAATTTAAATAAAATATATTTAAATATGATTTCCCTACAACTTTAATGTGCACAAATAAGTGATAGCTGTGTTAACCATACATGTAAACAGTTTTATGGGGGCTCACCAAACCAGCCTCTCATCCATACGAAGCCGGCGTTTCGGGGGTCTGTAAACGATCTTTTTTATATTCAGCCTTCAGAGTGGGAAGATTTTGAAACACTGTTTTCGTGTTTCCATCTTTAAGCTCTAACCGCTTTTTTTTTTTCTTACACGCATGCGTCATAGCGTCGCCTCTAAACACGCATGCGCGACACGGTATCACAACAACAATGGCGCTGTACTGTGTTGAATGGTTGCTGCTCATGCTACTCACCCTGCTGTCGGGCTTACAACAGAATCTTCTTCTTCTGGAATATCTCCAGGAAGAACAGAGCAATATCGACCACATAGTTCAGCACCTGAATTTGACTGAACCACCAAAATGGACCCGCAGGGCAACCATGTATAAATATTAGTGCGCATGCCCAACATTTCGTCGCCTATTTTTGCTTTGGCACCACAGCGCCACTTACAGGCCTGGCATACATTTTGCAGCGTTTTCATGTATTCGTGTGGTCGATAACATTTATTTTACGTCTCCGTCTTTACGACAAATGTTCTGGAAAATATTAGCGTTTCGTGTTCGTTTTGACTTCGTGTGGACGGGGCCTAATATTAACCCCCCCCCCCTGGCTGGATGACAGACCTGCGAAGCTGTGCAGTGTGGTTCCTCCAATGTGACAGGCTGCTACTCCTGTACTGGCTGTTGCAAAGGTGCTCTTTGGGGGGAGAGATCCGATGATTCTCTTCAGCAGGAAGGATTTTCCTGTACCTGGAATCAATAATTTAAGGCAGTGATTTGTATTAAAAACAAATAAAAAAGGTTAGAACTGTAAATGTACAGTCATATATTGATATAACAGTTATTTTTTATATATTTATTAATGCTTTTCAAGGCTGCACTTGCACCGTCTTGAGACGTTTTAAACTAAATTTCTTTTTGTTTACATTTGTGTATAAAAAAAAATGACAAAACAAATTTGTCAAAGTCTAATAGATCATAAAATGTCGAGGTGGATTTTTAATTCAACGTTTTACCTGCACTTCCAGTGAAGAAGACGTTCTTGCCACTCAGCACGGCACTGAGAACAGCCGTCTGCTCTCTGCTGAGCCTCCGAACAGGAAGAGATAACAAGGCTCTCTTACTGGGGTTGCCCTTCACCTGAAACAGCCACCAAAAACCTCAGTGCATTTCAGGAACACAGGCTGGTTAAAGTTGGAGGCAGATTTAGAAAGCAGAGTAAATAGACAGGGGGGGGGGGGGGGGGGGTTAGGGCCCTAACCTAGTGATAAAAAAAACCAACAACAAATCAGATGTGATCACAGTTGCTGAGTTCTTCCCCCCCATTCTATGGTGTGCATTATTCATGCTTCCAGTGTCCACCATATTAGATCAGTCAATTTGCTGCACATGTTCAGAAAGGTCCAATCAGACAGCAGCAAACCATTTGAAAACAAACCAAGCAAAGAGCAGTGTTGCCAACTTAGCGCTTTAGTCGCTATATTTAGCCACTTTTCAGACCCCTCTAGCACTTTGATTTCTAAAAAGCCCCTAGCGCCAAATCTAGAGACTTTTTTCTGCTACTGGAGACTTTGGAGACAACATCTAAAAGCAGCGAACTCTGCTCTCCAGAGCGAGTAGATTGGTAACCCCGCCTCCTGCTCTCCTCTATCTTGTCTGCTGTCATGATTCATGCAGCTATTATTTCATCCAAATGAAAAATGGAGAACAGATAAGCAGATCATGGCTTGTCTACAGTGAAAAGAAGGACTGGGTTATTTACTTTGGCCTTTTTGGAAACACAGGAAGGAGCAATCAGCTAAGTGAGCTTAGTGCTTGGAAAAAATCTTTCATTCCTTTAGAGACAGCATGAAAAGTCAGCTGAGTACAAAACATAGAGAGGAAAACAAGAAGAAAAGTGACAAGAAGAGAGGGACACAACCTAGAACAGATAATGGATGTCTATTCTAGTAACATTTCTCTATCTGTAGAATGAGTCTGTTTTATGTCTTCTTCTCAATTCCCCCTGCCTGTTTTTGCCTAGGGCCCCACATTTCCTAAATCCGGCCCTGTTGCGCAGGGACTCACCGGGCTGCAGCCAGCGTCGCTCCGGGGCCGTTTGCCCTGCTGGCCTGGCCCCGCAGCGGGGCCCCTGTTGCTGCGGTCAGTCAGCCCCGCAGCAGGCATCCTGCTCCGCACCTCATTCGCCTTCTGGAGGTCCTTCTGCTGCAGCGGGCTGATGGCCTCGAAGCTGCGGGGCAGGCCGGCTTTCAGCTTCTCTCGGGCGGTCAGAGGCTTGCTGCTCTGCCAGGCCTGGTGCTTGATGCTGAGGGTTTGCAGGAACAGCTTCAGGCCGTCAGGAGGACAGTTGGAGATCAGCAGCTGGAGGTTTTCAGGCAGCAGCTTCACGGTGCACTTCCCGTCCCTGGCGAACTTGGTGAAGAGCTTGAAGTCTTTCAGCGGGTAGCTGTGAGCCGTTTTCCCGTCGTGCACTCGGAGGAGGATCTCCTGGAACTCGTTGCGCCCCAGAATAACGGAGGCTTTGCGGATGATCTGTCTGCGGGTGGCCTGGCCGCAGCTGTTCAGCTGCTCCACCGTCACACAGCACTGCAGCTGGCCTCCGTCCTCTGCGGCCAACATCCTTCTGCCGGCTGTTCTCACAAAGCGACGCTTTCATTACTAATAAACCTCATTTATCGATGCAGATAAAGCTTTTTTTATTGGGTTCTTACCTTTAATCTGAAAGCAGATCTTCCAGGTTGCGTGTTTCTGTCACGGTGGAGCAGCTGTTCAGACTCACAATCAGCTTTCCATTTTTAAATTTCCACCAACTGAAATCAGCCAATCAGACGCCGAAGCATTGGGCCAATCAACGAGAGGATATTTAAATCCACAACCAATGTAAAAACGAGATGAGACGCCCATTCCCACTGACCAATCAGCAGCTCTATGCGTGCTGACGTGATACAAAATAAATTTGAACCGGAAATAACGGCAACAACAAAGAGCTTTGTTTCCTCCGCTTTCTTTTTTCTTTAATTATACATATTTATGTGTATTTAGAGATAAAAAAACAAAACATATGCGGACTTTTATGGGGCTCCGTTTGTAAAGTTAAGCAGTCAAAAATTAGGAGCATTATTTATGGTTCTTTAGCGTGTTTTAAGAGAAAAATAAGAGGGGTTCTTTTTTTTCCAACTCATTTTTTCTTTATGTCATTCCTTAATTAATAAAAAAAATCTTACTTTATTAAATAAACATTTAGTTTGGAGCTAAATATTTAGTTTGCAGATTAAATATTATTTCTGATAAATAAAGACTTACTTTGAAAATAAAATATTAAGTCTGTTAAAAAAAACATGCAGCTCCAAACTAAATATTTAGTTTGGCGGGGATGTATAAACGAGACTTGGACAGTTTCTTCCCTCCAGCAGAGAATTAAAGCAGTCGTTGCTATGGCAACACAGTGACGCCCCATGGGCTGTAGCTCTGTGGCGCAGGTTAACAGAACATTAAACATTTGCTCATTTTTTAAAACAAACATATATGGTCAAATAATAGTATTTCAAAGAGGACCTTCCATTTTGGAATTAATTACGTTTTTTTTTCTTCATAAACTCAACGATTTTCTGTCAGTGTGACGAAGATGACGTAGGAGTTGTAGAGAGATTCCCAGGCTTTTACTTTGGTAGTTCACTTCCGCTTTTTGGCAAGGGAATTTCCATATTCGCTAAATATTTAGCTAGCGTGGTGCTAGAATCATGTTTAATTGTTAAACTTTTACTTGGAGCTAGATGTTTATTTAACAAACTAAATATTTAGTTTGGAGCTAAATATGTATCTGATAAACTAAATATCTAGTTTCAAGCTAAATATGTATGTAATAAACTAAATATTTAGTTTGAAGCTAAATATGTATGTAATAAACTAAATATTTAGTTTGGAGCTAAATATGTATCTAATAAACTAAATATTTAGTTTGAAGCTAAATATGTATGTAATAAACTAAATATTTAGTTTGAAGCTAAATATGTATGTAATAAACTAAATATTTAGTTTGGAGCTAAATATGTATCTAATAAACTAAATATTTAGTTTGAAGCTAAATATGTATGTAATAAACTAAATATTTAGTTTGAAGCTAAATATGTATGTAATAAACTAAATATTTAGTTTGGAGCTAAATATGTATCTAATAAACTAAATATTTAGTTTGGAGCTAAATATGTATCTAATAAACTAAATATTTAGTTTGAAGCTAAATATGTATTTAATAAACTAAATATTTAGTTTGGAGCTAAATATGTATCTAATAAACTAAATATTTAGTTTGAAGCTAAATATGTATTTAATAAACTAAATATTTAGTTTGGAGCTAAATATGTATCGAATAAACTAAATATTTAGTTTGAAGCTAAATATGTATCTAATAAACTAAATATTTAGTTTGGAGCTAAATATGTATCGAATAAACTAAATATTTAGTTTGGAGCTAAATATGTATCGAATAAACTAAATATTTAGTTTGCAGCTAAATATGTATCTAATAAACTAAATATTTAGTTTGGAGCTACATATTCATTTAACAAACTTAATTATTTTGGAGCTAAATATTTATTTAACAAAGTAATCTCTTTTTTAAGGTATAAATGTGTGTATTGAGGTTGCCTCAGTCAGAGATATCTCTCTCCGTCTGAGGACATTAAATAAAGTTGAACCTTTTTTCTTGCAAGAAATACCTGTGTCTCAGCTTCCTAACTCCACAATATTTTCATTTGTTGCAGGCAGCTTCAGCTCAAACTGTACGATGAAACCACAGGGTTTAAAAGTTCACAGCTGACCATGTATGTTCTTAGACTGTACGACCTGATGTTCTGATGCGATCTACCTGCTAACACTACGTCTAAAAACTAAACATCAGACTCGGCACCGAGAAATGCCGGTGGTCGGACTCATCAATCAGGAAGAAAAAGAACTCCCTTATTTGCACATGTGCAGTGCTCCAGGTTCTAGTGAATCGGCTCATAGCTCTGCTTCAACTGTAGGATTTGTCCACGACCACCTTACGACGACCGACTGAATTTCAAACATGTTTAATTTCTTAAGAACTTACGATTCCTGATCGGCAGGTGGTAACGAGAAGCTGGTCGCCCATCGTTTCCCCCTGAGGTGTCAAAAGTATGAATGTTTATTACTGCAGTAGAAGTATAAATCCTGCCGTTTAAAAACGTTTAGGATTTTTGCTCAAGTACAAGTGTAAAAGAACAACTTTTAAAACTACTTAAAACATAAAAGTAATGCAGAATTGGACAGAAACTTTACGGAACTCCCAAAATAAAAGAACATTTTTCTACAATTCTGGATGATTCCTCTGATGAACTTCCTTAGCCTTCATGTTATTATTTTTTTCATTAATGGTAAAATTGTCACATTTAACTTTGCATCATCTTAAAAAAAACTATTCAGTTTGAAATGTGATGAACAACAAGTTGGGGCAGCACCGAGTCCAACCACAAAGAAATTAATAAAACGGTTATTTTGATATTTTTTGTTGTGGTTTTTTTTAAATACCAAAAGGCCATAATGAAAATGAGCTTAAATGAAACAAAACTAACGAGTCTATTTTTAAAATGTGAAAGTTTAAAAGTGAAAAATAATTACTCAGAAAGACCTTTCCGACCCAAGAAATTCTGTCTGAAGTGGTTTGTTATGAATATAAATGTAGCTGTTATGACCTTTTCCTTCAGGCAAAAATGTTAATCAGTGGTTTTATATTATAAGCCTCAACTTTAAAATTTCAAGTGGAATCCGGATGTGCAGACTTGAACAAAATTACCCTTTGGTGCATTGAGTTGTCCATTAATCTTTTAAATTATTAATAAAGATAGCTGTGAAATTGAACCCTTTCCACATGAGCGCACGTTGTTAACCTATAACGATGTAATCTAAGGTGATCCTGTGCGGGACATACAGGCTTTCTTGAGCTGGATGTACTGACGGTACATTTATAGTAAACACTGGCCTCTGATCTAGCCTCAGACACTTGTGTGTTGTGCTCATATTAACACACATAACACTCCTCTCTGGGTTTTAATGCTTTGTTTTTCTGTTAAACCGAGAACAAGCTGCAACACCAATGCTTTTTAGAGCAGCAGATGAAAATGCATTTAATACTCATAAAATATGCTCATTTTAAGAGCTTTAAGTAAAAAGTTCACAGTGTTCTTTTTTCGGGTGCATTTGGAGCTAACAGGACTACTCTTATTCATCAGCGCATGCATTATGAGCACATTTTCATTAAAGCTGATAGCGGGGGTACGGCCAGTTTTCATGTTTGCTATCTTAGCTTGCCCTTAAACATCCACCGAATGCTGAATGATGCATCTCATCAATTTCTGTAACACAGATTTATGGAAAACATTTTGATATAACATTAGGAGCCAAATAAAAGTGCCTCACAAGATAAATCTGTCCCCTCATACTGCGTATCGTAAGAGCAGATATTGTTTTGCAGAGATAACTTCCCCCCATGGCAAGAACTGACAGCGCCATGGAATCATGTCTGTTGTTTTCCCTTTGTGTTTTTTTTATTTTTGCAGGATTATGCAAAACACACATAGTGATTACTTATAAAAACCTGTTGGAGCGCATGAAATGGCCCGAGGGGGAGACCATGAAAATCTGGTGTTTATAAAGAACACAGCTTTCAAACCACCTGACAAAACGCTGGCATTGGGTCAGGATGTGCTCTCCCCATGGCCGGCTAGATTTCAAATTTGTTTCATGCAAAGCAAGATTAATTTTGTATGGTGATTGGTAATTCTGTGGGGTAATCTAAAATGAAGCAATTTATGTCTTGTGTCTAAAAACAAAAGGAAACTGCTATAATTCAATTCAGTTTATCTATAATGAGCCCGTATGGTTGCCACAAAAGTCACGCTTTTATATACTGTAGGATCTTTAGTTTGTTTAGTTTAGTATGTTTAGTGTGACGCAACTCAATGGGAAAGGAAAGGATTCTGATTTCAACCGTTGCGTTTATTAGCTGCGACATATGAATCAAGATGCTATGACCGAAAACATTTGATTGACAGATGACCGGCCTGCAGAAGATAATGAAAAAAGACACAGATTTTAAGACAAGATTTTTTTTTTTTATCGAAATTTTCTAATATTTCGGAAAACATGGTCTGATAAAGATTTCATTTATATACATGTTTAAGCCAGAATGATTTGACATTTAAATATGAATTCCCTACGACCTTAAGCACAGAGGCTTTACCTCACTACCCTATTAAAGGAATATTTTTCTACAATTCTAGATGATAACTTCCTTAGACTTCATTTTCTTTGTTTTATAACTAATGGTAACAGTGTCAAATTTAACTTTGCATCATCTTGAAAAACTATCTATTTTGGTATGTGAGCAACAAGTTCGGGCAGCACCGAGTCCAACCACACAGAAATTAATTGTCTGGATGAAACTCATTATTTTGATGGTTTTTATTGTTTTTAAATACCAACAGGCCTTAATGAAATTTAGCTTCAATGAAACAAAACTAGCAACTCGGTTTTTAAAATGTAAGGAGTAGAAATAAAAAGTTGTCTAAAAATAATTACTCCAGCAAAGTATAGATAGCAAACATTTCTACTTAAGTAAGGTAACAACGTATTTGTGCTTTGTTACTTGACACCTCTGCTAGAAATACTTCCCCATAAAGTTGCAAGATTATCGTCACTGCCGTAGCACTATGGTCAAAAGGTTTGAACTTTAAAAAAAATAAAAACAAAGCAGCACAAACAAAAATGTTCACTGCACAAATGTAGCACAAACATTTGACATTTACTTTA